TCTATACTCATGGAATCAAGGGTTTTCTCTGTGAAAAGAACTGCAAAAGATGATTGTTCTGTTAAGCATCACTGTGAAGCGAAACCTAGGGTTTTCGGATTTTAAATGCACTTTGTGCGTGTTCCAAGCTATTCAATCGACAAACAACCAAGTAATCATCATATCAAGCTCTCATGTGTCTTGGCATGCTTTGAATTGCACAGAAAGTCAAATGTTTCAATTGATTTTAGACAGTGCAGACAAAAATTCAGTATTGTGTGTTTCAAGCTCAAAAATTCATAACTTGAAATCATAAAATGATTTGGGAATGGTTCTTCAGTCTTTAGAACCTTCTTGATATATTCTCCAGTTCATTTGTTCAGGTCGAAGGCTAATTTTGTGAGGAATATTTTTAAAAGCGCAAAATACATGAAAAATTCGTAACTTTTGACTGGAAAATCATCTTTGATTGGTTCTTGGAGAATTTGAACCATATTATTATTTCCTTCAATCTTTGTGTTCGGCTCGGAAGCCAATTCATTGAGGAAGATCTCTGAATGTGCGAATACTTTGAAGAAATAAAGTGAAAATAGTGCGCTGAACCGCTTTTTATCAGATGTTCAAAAATTCATATCTTTCATCCGGGTCAATGTTTTTGGATGGTTCTTTAGGGAAAAAATCCGTCTTGAATTTTATCTTCGATTCATATGTTTGGGTCAGAGGTTAATCCTTTGCAGAAGATCTCTGAAAGTGCGAATTACTAGAGAAAATTGCACCCCGAAATGGTTTTCTACCGGACTGTTTCTCGATATTGTAAAAATCATAGCTCTCTCAGTTTTTATCGTATCAGGATGATTCTTGAAGCTTGAGATCACAAATTTTGTTAGCTATAACTTTGCTTCAGGTCCCGAGGTCGGATTATGCTCTGAAGGCTTCGGTTTATGGCTTGCTTCCTAAAGAGTGCATGAAAATAAGCTTGAATTTTCAATGCGGCAAAATAAGTCCATTGTTTCTCGCCTTTCAAAAAATTATAACTCACTCGATTTTTATTGTATATGAGTGATTCTTTCGGCATGACGTCACAATTTTTTTCATCTACGATTTTGTTTCAGGTTGCGCGTCAGGGTTCCACACCGAAAGTCATGAGCTTGTGGTTTGTTCATGCACCATACACAAAATAAGCTGAAAAAATATGCACTGTGAAGTTTTACACAAATTTCTCTCCATTCAGAGCATTGTAACTTGCTCAATTTTTATCGTATCAGAACGATTCTTTCGGCACCGCGTGACAAATTTCTTTGCCGACATTTTTGTTTTAGGTCACCCGTCCGGATTTTGCACTGTATGTCATGAGTTTGTGGTTCGATCTTGCACTGTGCATGAAATAAGGGGAAAAATCAAATTTGTCAAGCCAAACAAGACTTTGGAGCCAATAATATAAATATTTGAAATTCAAATTTTAACACAACTTCACTTATTATTTTCAAATCTCAAGAATCAAACTCAATTTTATCTCAACTTTATCTCAAAACTTTAAGAACATTCAACGAAAACTTGAAGAAGCTTCATCTTCCTCACTCATTTCTGCGAGCTCCTCCCTCCTCTCCCTCAACTTCCGCTCAGTCGCATTGCCACCACCAGACTTCTCTCCGGCCAGCACCTACCTCCGTCGTAACTTCTGGCTGCTCCCTTTGTTGTTTCGCACAATTCCGGCTAAAGCTCCTCCGTCTTTGCCGCGTGATTCCGCCGCAAATCCCTCCCCTTCGTCGCACAATCTTCCGACGGACACTCCTTCCTTGCTCCGATCATATTTCCTCCCGGTGCTTTCTTCTATTTTGCTTCGGTAATTTCGCATCTCTACTTGAATTGAGTGTTTAATTATGCAAGTTGATTTTGAATTATTGTTTATTTGAATTTACTTGAGTTGGAATTGAATTTGTGAGATCTTTAATTCTTGAATTTTGATGAGGATGTTGAAGTGTGGAATTGGTTGATTAATGTTTTAATCGATTTAGATCTTGAATTTAATTGGTAAAATTAATGTTGATTTTGAATACCGAATTTTGGATCTAGATGTTGATTATTGAGTTTTGATAAGAATTATTTGTGTTTTCATGAGTTAATGCAATTTTCGAATCGATTTGTTGATGAATTCAATTTTTCGACATAAAAAACCTCATACCGGAAAAATTCAATTAACACTTGAATTATGTTGTTTGTGGCTCGGAATCATTCATTCGGTGTGGAATTAATTGTTACAAAGCATTTGTAATTCCTAAGCGACGATACATGAATCAGTGAATATTTTTGTGTATCCGTTTGTGAGTTTTAAACTTATTTTTGTTCGATTACGATACATGTATATGTTACTGCCCAAACATTGCAAATGGATTGTAAATCGCATTTCAAAATTCGTTTGAGGCTTACTTGTGCATAATTGTGCATTTATTGATCGTTGGTGTTGAATTATATCATTTTCGACACGATTTTTTGGTTGGTTTTGTGATACGATGCAATGCTGCCCGGTTTGGTAAGTTGGTGCAAACATGCAATTTAATTGTTGTGTTATGAATAAGTGAACTTGTCTTGGCTTTGGTTTGAGATTGATATCAAGTTTGCTCGATTTCGGATCGATATTTTGTGTGGTTTATGTGTTAACGATAATGCTTCCCGGTTTTTAATGTTGATGTTCCAATGCTTGTTTGGATTGTATTTCTTTGCAATTTAATCTTGATTTGATTTGTGATGTGGATACTTGATTCTGATTATGCCTCCTTGTTATTTCTAACATGTTTGCTGACTTGTATAAAGGGTTTCAAGAATGCTTGCAATCGATTACTTAACTCTTGGTTATTATATTAAAGCATGCAATTCCACTCTATTTGTGGATCGATTACGCTTCCGACGCGTTTGATTGTTGATACTTATTCCATGAGATACATATATTGTTTTGTTTGTCTGGATTTGTATTTCATGCAGGTTCATTGGTTGATATTAGGATGTTTCTGACACACATTCTCTTTGTTCTTTATTGAGGCTTCAACGCATACTTTGATTATTTTATTATTGATGCTAGCTTGCACGAAGTTTTCCGGGTTTCTCTGTTTTGCTTGCTTCCTACGAACTCTTGTTTGTTTGGTATTATACCGATTCAGGTTTATTTTTACGCATCATTTACTGTTTCCCTTGCCATGAGAAGTAAGAATAGAGATGCATGGCTGGGAGTCTCTACTTTAGGTGGGTAACTATGTTTAAAGTTCTCAAAGGAGGCGATGTTTGTTTTGCAAAGTCCTCAAAAATAGGTCATGTTTGTGTTTGTTTGTGTGCAAAAGACCTCGACAAAGGAAAATCTCATTCCCCTCCTATTTCCCTTTTATTTTGTGCTTGCTATCGAGTCAAATAAGAGGAACAAAGGGTCCGCAATCGACCCACATAGTTTCTAGTCAGTTTCGTTCTTATCTCGCGTGATACGTCGATGCTTTGAGCCGTGCTTACTCTTGTCCATTGAGTTTAATAAAGTGGAAAAGGGTTCGTAACCTTCCCCCACGCTTTGTCATTTGTTTCAATGATGTTAGCTCACCTTTCTTCAAACATTGACGCTCCAAATTGTTACTCGATATCGGTGCTCGAGCAAATCAAGTGGAAAGAGTTCCTTACTCCCACTTTGAGATCCTTTGTACTCATTTGTTTTTTATTAGCTCACACTCCATTTTATTTTGGTTCGACTTGGTTTGATTGCACGTGTGTGTGCCTTTCTTTACACCTTTGTATGTTCCCTTAGAATTCACTTGTTTCATTTCTGATGCAAGTTAGACATTAGGATCAGAATCCGTGCATGTTATTTTCCTTTTAAACCTCAACTATAGGATCAATCGTTGTATGATAATATTAGGGGTAGAGCTAGATAGTTTCCCTTAGATTTTTTCTTTCCTTTTTGCATGATTAAGACTAAAACTCTTTTCTTTGGTAAATGCATAAAACACTCTAACAATTCTTAAATCATTTTTTAAGGTAGAAAACATCAACCAATTCAAACTTTTTCCATCTTCAGGCTTTTCTTTGAAACTCTCAAAAGGATATGTTGATTCTACTCTACGCAATATGACGCGTAAATCCCCAAAGGTCGGGTGGAACCGTGTCTACTTGCTAGAGCATGAATGTAGCATTATTCGCATTCGAGCACTTTTCTTTTGAAAATACCCTTTCAGGTAGAACATGTTAATTTATTCATATGCCAATGCGTGAGTATCCAAAGGTCGAGCTACGGTAGGAAGCAGAATTAATATTGTTCATAAAAAACATAAAACAAACAAAAAAATTTGAGCCGAACTACGACGCTATGATTCTTTAAAAGGGATACATAAGCATTTGGTCGTGGGGCCCATGCAAGCAAAACTTTGCAAATATTCCTTCTTTTCCCCGTGTTTTCTTTTTCATGCATTCCCTCTTTACATTTTTCCTTTAGCTCGTAAGCTTTAGATTAGAACGCACCCCTTGATTAGAACAACAAGAGTGGATCCCATGGAGTACCACGAACGTGAGGGGTGCTAATACCTTCAGCTTGCGTAATTGACTTCCTTACCCGTATCTCTCGATCGTGAGACCTTGATTTCACCCTTCTCAGATTTAGTCAATGTTTACCTTTCCCTTTTAGTGGGATAAAAAACACTTGATGGCGAATTCATTATTTTTCTCTTGATGATTGTTCGGCCGGTTATTTTAAGATGGTTTGCAAGAAGTTTTACATCAACCTAACCATCCGAGTCTTCTTCTATTTTTTTGTTACCAAACCAGCAAAAGGCAGTTGGGTGACCCTAAGCAATCAGTAGGCCCAAGGCCTTTTTACCCTCTCACTTTAATAACTATAAATATTGGAAAAATAAGTTTGTACGAGTGAGGGTCGAGAGAATTCCCTCAGAATACTGGATTCTGATGGTGTTCCCCTATTTCCGTTATCTTAGAAAGAGGTTCCTTCAATAGTCACAGACTATGATTAGGCGTTATTGTCCCTTAGGGAGAGAATGATCGTTCGTTTTCTAGGGAATTTAGAGGTTATGGAGTGCCAGAAGGTGATTAAGCTATGGTGAGAGGGTGGTGCTCCTCTCGTTGCCTATACAAGTAGGCGATTTTTTCTTTCTGCTTGCGAAATCTTATATATTTTTCTAACCCATATTTTGTTCATGGAGACCAAATGGCAAATACATCCATATAAGAGCGCAGAGAGAGATGCGAGAGGATAAAGTTCGTCAATTCAAGCGTTAGTAGTATGAAAATCCACCCCAGGGGGTTGACCATCCAAGGGAAGAAAATAGCGGTCAAGACTCTGACCTTCGCATTGTCTGGAACTAAAGCTCAATAATTAGAGGAGGAGTCTCCTCTTGTTGTTGGTTAGGGGCGGAACCCACTAGGGGTGCCAATCTTATACACTGGTATGACGATGTCAATCCTGACCTACTTCACTTCAAAAGCTCGCAACTCCTGTTTTCTAAAGAGTTCCTTGTAGAGTACCTGGCCCTTTGTTCACAATCTCCCTTAGCTATGATGAGTATAAAAGATACCCTAATGATAAGGGAGCCGATGCTTCAGGATGTTAAACAGGGGAAATTTGACAAGGGTGCAAGCGACCTAAAGGCCAGACTCCAGGATCAAAATAAGGCTTATAATGAGAGTCAACGGTTATTTTAGTCCCTCCAAAAACAGGACGAGGATAAGTTAGGAAAAAGGCTAGAGGATTCCCAAGATAAAGCTAGAGAGGTCTTTTCCGAGAAAAAATCTCTACATAACTCTTTGGATGCAGTTATCCTCCGCCAAAAAGAGTTGGAGAAGGAGGTCTCAGATTTGACCGATGAACTGGTGCCAGTTGTTAGTGTATCCTTTAAGAGGGCAAAAGAAGAAGTTATATTTTTGTACCCACCTTTGGATCTGAGCCTTTTGGATCCTTTCAAGGTCGTGAAAGGTGGGGTGATGGTGGATGAGGAGGTGACGACCCCTCATGAACCCGAACCTTTCCCCTCTCTAGCGGAAGGAGTGGTCCGAGAGGGTGGTGATCCTGAGAGTCTACATCTGGAGCCAACTATTGAGGAGGAAATCCTCTAAGAATTATGTTCCTGCTTTGTGGCTTTTTGTCTTTTATTGTATTCCTTTTGACCATCTACAGGGACATTTGTAATTGTTTAGAATAGCGGCGCCCCTCAGGGGCATCATTATATTAATTATTTTTTACTGTTTAACTATTTTTGTTGTTTTCCTTTTTAGACATCTTATGGTCATAGTCGTCTCTTTGGGAATTAAGGATTCATCCCTAATGGGATTCAATAAATATAATTATCTTTATATGCGGCGAGGATTCTCCTTGGGGGATTTGACAAACATAATTGCCTCTATGGGCGACAAGAATCCTTTCTTGGGGAATCTAGCAAATATAATTGCCATTATAGACAGTAAGGATCCACCTTTGAGGGATCAAACAAATATAATTGTCTCTATGGATGGCAAGGGTCATCCTTTAGGGTAACCAACTGTGATACGGTGGTAGAACCGACTGTTTAATACTGGTTTGTGTTTTGCGTTTTTTGTTTGCAAAATGTCGCGGTAAGCAAGAGTCGCCACCGAATTTTATTTTATCCAATCAGAAAGGAAAAAAGTACAGAAAAAAATCATTTTTCGAGATTTTGAGTACGGGGGGTAGATTATAGAAAGGGAAGGTGTTAGCACCATTTCTATCCATGGTTTTCCATGGGCTCCTAGGTACTTGTTCATTTTTAAATTTCTTGTGTTTGTGTGCTTGTTTTTGAAAAATGTTTTACTTCGTGATAACCCTTGTATCAGTCCTCAAGGATGTGACGAAGTTGTTTTGAAAATTTGTTTGAAAAGTGTAAGTGTGAAAAGTTTTGATTTGATCAAGTACCTACTAGCATCTACGTACTCAAAAAAAGATTGTTTCTATTCTTGTTTCCTTTAGACAACGCTATCCTACTATTGAGAAATAGGTAGCACCGTCGTTGGAATTTGTAAGGGTCAATTCGAAAGGGATGTACGGTCACTAAAGTAATATTAGGACACCTTAGTAGTAACCCTAAAGTCTTAAGATCTTTTCGAGGCAACATTTCCGAGGCAACATTCCTGAGGCAACATTTCCGAGGCAACATTCGAATGGGACAATTTGATCTTTTAGACTGGAGGGCAACCACTAAGACACCCTATGCTTAATGATCGTTTACCGAAGGCAACCGAAGTGAGAGTATACCCTAAGAATGAATATATACGAGTGATTTATTTTCAGTTTATTATCTTTGCACATTAGGATTTTCTAACAATTTTAATTTTTTCATACATTCTTGCCATACAATCCTATTAGCATACATCTAGACAGTTAAATATTTGCAGGAATTAAAAAATGAGAGCAAATAAACCTAACTATTACAAGGCTTCGGGGAGGGGGATTAATTACATAACCAAAAATCGGGGATTTAAACAGTAAATAAAAAACCTAAGTTAACTATTACAAACCCTAAACAGTTACAAAATAATGGCAAAATAATTAACAAGCGCGCGGTAAGTTAAATGCGAGGCGATTAGGGTTTTGACCCTTTGACTAATCCTACTTGCGATTGATTAAAGAAAAAAAAAGTTTTTTGCCATGCTTTGTTATTTGAGAAAATAATGGAATAATTGAATTAGAAAAGGACCCTAATTACTAATTAATTTTAATTAAGAAAAATAAGTAAGTTAACCTATTTTTTGTATTTTTATTTTATTTGCAAAAGGAAAACAATTAAATCAAGAATTAAACCTAATTTTTCTAGTTGATTTTAATTGTGAAAAACAAATTAAAATTACCCTAAATTAAATTAAATTAATTAAATTAAATTTGATAAAAAACCCTAATTTTAATTTTTGTGAATTCTTGATTTTGTGATTTTATAAAAAAAATTGATTTTAAAAATAAAATAAATAAAGAATTAAGAATAAAGTAAAAACAAAATAATAAGAAGAGAAAAAAAAAAGATGAATGGGCATGTGTTGCTAGGAATGTTGGGGGTGCAAAATCTGAATTTTGTAAGACCCATCAAGCTCCAGGCCTAGTCAGCGCTGGATCTGGTGCATCATTGACTTTGAGGAATACCATGGACCTTCATTGTTGGCACGTTGGATATGACTAGCTGGGCATCCAGTGGCCAGGCGTTGAGGGTGTATGGAAGGCGTATGATATTGTATTGCATTGGATCTGCAAAGGTAAAACAAGAAAATGCATTTTTTGGGACCTGGGATCGAACCCAGGTCCTTGTACTCCCTACCAATGATGCGTTGCCAACTGAGCTGCATTGTTAACTTGTTATTAAAATAATAATAAAACATAATATAAGAAAAGTAAAAGGGTTGATTCCAAAGTGCACGATTTTCAAATGTCCCAATGGCTGGCTGACACGCAAGCATCTTCTTCCTTGCAACCGTCATTTTAGAAAAAAGAGACTTTTACCTATAAACGTCCACTGTAGGTATAACCCTTCACATTTCAAAAATGTTGTACATGCAAGATAAATGAAAGGTAATGGTACCAATCAACTTGTCTCATCCTCACGAGCATCACGATACCTGATTCAAGGCCCAATTGTTCCTGTACAAAAAGACCCTAAAAATAACACAGAAACCCTAGCAATGGCAACATTATGTACATGCATCAAAAACACAATTAAATGACATGGTTAGTTTGCAAACATGATGACCAACACGAATATAACAATCAAAAGTGCTAATGATGCAATAATTATGATAATCGAATTGAAAAATCATGTCAAACTGTATGAAGTGTAACGCGCGTTTCTGGGTGTTTCAGACCTTGCAAACGATTGGGACAACTTCCTGGGACGTCCAACAATGGATTGGGATAGCTAGGATGGCTTGAGATGGCCCGTGGAGTGAAAACCAATTCACACTTTTGCCAACTTTTTTGAGTTTTGTTCTATGCTTCTCACGACCTCTAACCCCCGTTTTTTGATATGGAATTGCTCATTCTATATCCTAAAGTGAATTAGGTTAACAAACTTAGACTAAATCTTTGCATTTATCCAAGATTTGATTTGATTTGCAAGCTATATGATATGTTGCTATTTTGAGCCAAATCATGCCTTTCTTGTATTAATTGCCCTTGATTCGATTTGCTCTTGTTTACTCAGCATATCTTGATTGCCAAACTGTCAAAAAAACAAATCAAATCATATCTTTGTTAATTTTCATCATTTATTTGATTTAATTCACTTTTTAATTAATGAAAAATCAAAATAAATTGAAAATGAAGCACATAATGGGTGAGTGAACATTTGAGTCGTGGACCACATTATAATTGAGGCGCAAGCATAAAAAGTTGAGCCCATTTAGCAAAAAAATGCAAATTTGAGCACATTTGACTTTTGGCAATTTTGCAAAAATGGTCAACTTGGCCAATGCATAACTCTCTCAATTTTTACCCTAGAGAGGTGTTATTGGATTTTTTAGAAAGCTTAGGATGTCCTATAAACAAACCTTTCGGTATCATCTCAATTGAGTCTTCCATGTTCATGTATGAAGCTTTGACCCAAAAGGTGTTTTTATTGACTTTTCAAAAGGACCTATAATGTCAAAATTCATATCTTTTTACGAGTGAATATTATGGACTTGGGAGATGAAGATGAATTGCAGGGAATTGAATCCTCTTAAAAATGAGTTTTGTATGGGTCATTTCTAATAAATTATGAGAAAGTTATGCTTGGTCAAAGTTGAGTTGACTTTTCCTGTAAAACCCTAATTTAACAACTTTTGGGTTTTGATGAATTGTGAGAAATCCTTGAGGAATCATGATCAACCCTTGATAAAATGATGGATAATAATTCAAAATGAGGATGTTGGCCAAAAATCTTGAAGTTTGACTGTATGTAGGCCACAGTTGACTTTTGACCTAGTACAATTGATTTTCAGGCATTTGAATCAATTGACTGAGCAAACTTCTTCTGCAAGGCTTGAAACTTGACACGGATGATCTTGAGAACATATTAGGACAATGGTGAGCATTTGAGTCCTTTGTGGTTCACACATCTTGATGAAGATGGAAACCCTAATTTGAGGTATACTGCCTTAGGAGAGAGTTTGTTTGGTCAATTCTTAAACTTCCTTGAGCAATTTGGGGACCTCACTTGCCATGTGTTGAGAAATATGAGAGGGAAAATTTTGGGGTACAACAAATTCCCCTGTTCAATCTTCTTAAACCTGAGGATGTAGATTGGCTCGTCTGCCTTTCGTCGTCTGAAGGTGGAAGATGATTGAACACTAGAGTGCCCAGAAATTTGCACTTACATGAAGTGATACTTGATTTGTGATATCGGGAATGGGCTTACAGATGCCATTCTGAGGTTGATGATGGAAGATTGTTGGGTATGGACTTAAAGATGCCATCCGAAGATGTGTTGATCGCCTAAGAGATTCCTTTGCGAGAACCCGTGTACCTGTTGTCGAGGAGGACTTCGCTGGGGAATGATGGTCTCTATCTTGGGAGAAATAGAGTTTTAGGAGCTTCATTTGCCCGTTACTCTATTGGGGAATAACTTCGATTTGGGGAAGCAGAAGTGAACTGCGTATCTAGTCGGGGTATATGCTGCACCGCGACTTATTAGAGAGATGTGAAACCAATCGTGTTTGATCAGGTCCTGGTCTTACAGTGTTGTGGACTGTTGTCTGGGGATAATAGAGGAAGAACTCGTATAGTAAGGTTATGAGAAGGAACCTGGATAGTAGGGTTACTTCAAGATGAAAGCCTAGATAGTAGGGCTTGAGAAGGAACCTGGATAGTAGGGTTACTTCGAGATGAAAGCCTGGATAGTAGGGCTTGAGAAGGAACCTGGATAGTAGGGTTACTTCGACATGAAAGCCTGGATAGTAGGGTTGTGATAAGGAACCTGGATAGTAGGGTTACTTCGACATGAATGCCTGGATAGTAAGGCTTGAGAAGGAACCTGGATAGTAGGGTTACTTCGAGATGAAAGCCTGGATAGTAAGGCTGTGAGAAGGAACCTGGATAATAGGGTTACTTCGATATGAAATCCTGGATAGTAGGGTTGTGAGAA